CCCCTCCCCACCCATCCCTCCGTTCTTTATTTAGTTAATTTATTTTTCATTTTCGATTAAAATGACAGAAAACATCAACGTGACATTTGTTTGTTTGTTAATTTATTCGTATCATTATAAGGTTTACTTTTACTTCTTTTTCTTTTTTTTTGATCACGTTTTATACTTTAATAATTATTATAATTTGAAATTAAAGGTTTCTATTCCTTTTTGTTTTTTTTTTTTTTATCATGTTTTATACTTTAATAATTATTATAATTTGTAATTAAAGGTTACTATTACTTTTTTTTGTTTTCTTTCGAACTACGTTTTATACTTTAATATTTATTATAGCATGTAATTAAAGATTTCTATGACTTTTTTTTTTTCCTTTTTTGACCACGTTTTATACTTTAATAATTATTGTAGTTTGAAATTGAAGGTTTCTATTCCTTTTCTGTTTTTTTTTTTGATCATGTTTTATACTTCAATAATTATTATAATTTGTAATTAAAGGTTATTACTATGACTTTTTTCTTTGCCTTTTTTGACCACGTTTTATACTTTAATAATTATTATAATTTGTAATTAAAGGTTTCTATTACTTTTTTTTTTTTTTGATCATGTTATACTTGAATACTTTGTTGTAATTTGTAATTAAATGAAATTATAGCGTCATTTATAAGGGTATCTCGTTTGTTAATTTTAAATTATTAAATTTTGACAAATTTTTGCGAATTATTTATACCATTATTATCATAATTATTTATTTTCTTTTTTTTTAGTATTATTATTATTGTTATTAAGAAGAAGTATAAAAGTCTAAAAAAAAATAATAATAAGAAGAAGAAGAAGAAACGTCGTTTGATGTTTCTTTATAAATTTTTAAAGTAAGGAAACCAATGAAACCCATTTTACTTTGTGTATTTCTTAAATTCTTCTCGTTAAGTATACATTATTATTATTATTATTATCATCATCATCATCATCATCATCATCATCATCATCATCATCATCATCGTCGTCTTTTCGTCATCGCAATTGTTATCATTATAAATGAGAAAATGAGTAGAAAAGATAAAATCGTGAGAGAACAACGTTTTCCCCCCTTTTACGAATCCACTTTTCGTATTCTTTATTTTTTTCTTTTCTTTTTCATTTAAATGTTTCCGGTTGTTTTTTCTTCTTCTTCTTTTTTTTTTTTATTTTTTTTTTCTCCCTGAAATGACAAACGTTTTCCTGCTAACGAGCCTAGCCATGATGCAATTTACCATCTCTAGTACCTCCGATCATTATTTTCCTTGTTCGTTTGACACTTCGTTCGTATTTTTCTCTTTTTGAAATATAAAAAAAAACACACACACACAAGAAAAAAATATTCAAAGCTCTAAGAAAAAAAAGAAAATTAATAAGATTTTATTTAACAAATAAAAAAAATAAAAAGTAAAAAGACAGACAAGAATCAACGAAGAAGAAGAAAACACATAAATGAAACGAAAGGAAAATAATTCAAAAAAAAATAAAAAAATAAAAGGGGCACGATGTAAATTAAAAAAAAAAAAAGAAAAGAAAACAAACACACACACACAAAAAAAGGGCAAGAGCTTTTTAAGTTATTTTTTGAAGAACCCTTGTCTTGATGAGAGACTGTGTTTAAAAGCTCCGATTTAATGAGTTTTAATGCAACCAAATTTACGGTTCAAAAATAAAAAAAGATAAAGAGAAAGAATAAGAGAGAGAGAGAGAGAGAGAGAGAGAGAAGAAGAAGAAGAAGAGAAGAAGAGAAAATAAAATATTCTAGTGCAAAAACCGACACCGCGAGGTGTGATGATAAAAAAAAAAAAAAAAGAAAGAAAAGAAAATAGTTCGAGTAAATTCGTACCAATTAATTCTAGTTGAGTCGATAAATCAGACTTAAAAGTACGTATCGATCGTTTAAACGAAAACTCGAAGCAACATTAAACTCAAATAAACAAACAAAAATTTATATATATGTAGAGAAAAAAAAAAAAGAGAAAAAAAAAATAATGAGCAATGAAAGATTTCCAAAATTGATGCATTTTATTATATGTTGTACCCAATATAAATAAGCTCTATAGAGAAAAAAGCGTTCATCAGATGAAAAGGGTAGATCTACCCGAACGTTTGGCAACCGACTAGTTTGAAAAAGGATTTTTACCCTCCCTCATTAGACAAATATCGAAAGCAAAAAAAAAAAAGGAATAAAGAAATAAAATTCTTATTTTATTATTATTTTGGTTCATGCAAGATTCATTTAAATTTGCCATTTGTTGTAAAATAATTCAATTCGTTTCATTCGTACGAGAATGAAAAGTCTCGAAAATAAAGAAGTAAAATAAAAAAAAATAAAAAAAAAATTGTTTACAATTGAAAATAATGAATGATGCAAAAGAGAAATGTATGATCAAACCCATTATTAAATAAAATCGGTGAGTAGCTCCACTCACCGTTAATGGGGTGGAGCTTGGTGTTGGGCATCTTGCAATGTGCGGTGTGAAGAACTAGCTCACCGGTTTCGGCTGCAGCTTGCAATAGCATCTGCTGATGATGGTGTTGTCTCGTCGATGATCTGTGATGGTGGATGCTGTTCAAAACGATGTTGCTCGATGTTCTGCTTAATGCTTTACGTTGTCTAACCGCTTCCTTGTAGATCTTGCAATACATCACTATCATCACCAGACCAGGTATCCAAAAGGATACGCACGAGCTGATCACTGCATAAGGACGATTCACTATGAATGCACAAACCTGAAATAAATCAAAGAAGATATTCAATAATTATTTTTTTTTTTATTTTTTTTTTATTATAAACGAATAAAGGTATATTACATTAGTTATGATAGGTTTGTTTTTTGTTATCTATAATTAATTAATATTATTTATATATATATATAATTACATTTAATATTAATTTAATATAATTTTAATAATATTAATTATTATTATATAATTATTATATATATTTTATAATATAAAAATATATAAAATTTATATAATAATAAAATAAAATAATATATATATAATTAATAGATTATAATTATCAATAATATTTTCTAACAAAATATTAAAGAACAATTTTTGTTCTATTACATTACATTAGAATAATCAGGATTGGTATTCTTACCCATAGGTACAAATTAATCGATAATAATATTCAATAATATTTAATAAAAATGATTATCAATAAATAAATAAAATAATCATATATAAAATGTTTTGATTTAATTGAAGAATTAATGAAAAAAAATATATATATATACATATCTCTAGAATAAAATACATTTAATCTATTAATTAATGTAACAACTCAAACAAGGTATATCAGTTTTGTTATATTAGAAATATTAGCCAGGTGATAGGCATTTTAAGGTCTACGATCAATAGTAATCCTCTTATAAACGACTAGCACACAGGTGATGTACGTTATATTAGTTAAGGATTCGTACCACCTTACCCTACCTACATCTTCCTTAGGTAACCGGAGCATCGTACTTAGAACTGTCATGAGATATTTTTATCTTTAACAAAGAGAGAGATAAAATAGAGAGAAAGAAAGAAAGAAAGAGAAGATAATTTTAAATCGAGTTGTTTCTTGTTTTTCTTTTTATTTCATTTTTTATTTTCTTAACGAGTATCTAACAACTAAAAAGTAACTTTTTTTTATATAACAACCGAAGAATTTTATTTATAACAGTATTACGTTCTCCCATCAACAAGGATAGTGTCTATTTTCGTGTTTTTGATTCGTTGTAGCTCATTAATGTAAAAATAACTTTTGCCGAGAGTAATCTTGAAAATAATTTTTCAATTAAAAATTTCAATATTATCTAGAAGATAGAAAAAAGAAAGTAAGAAAAAAGAAACGAAGAAGAAGAAGAAGAAGAAGAAAAGTTATGAACAATTTGATATACATAGTTAATTTTATTAAGGATAAATATAAGAGTAATAATATTGAAAAGTAATAAATATAATTTAAAATAAAAGAATTGTTAATTCAAAAAAAAAGAAAAAAAATCAAATATAAAAAAAGATATAAAACCAAACATATACATACCTCGGGATTTTTAACCATGAATTCAAGATGTTCTTCTGTGGTGTACCATCCCATAAAAATAGGTATAAAGCTGATTAGAGCTGGTAGGATCCATGCACTTCCAAGCATACAACCGACAGTACCTTGTCTCATGATGACAGTATATTCGAGAGGGCTCACTATTGCATAATATCTATCAACACTGATACAACAAAGATGGAGTATAGATGCGGTTGAGAAGTAAACATCCAACGAACTCCATACGTCACACATGAAACGACCGAATAACCATCTGCCACCTGATAATTCGACCGATGCATTGAAGGTCATTGCACACATGGCAACCAACAAATCGGCGGCTGCCAAACTAACGACGTAACAATTTGTAACAACGCGTAATCTTCTGTGTCTTCTGACACTAGCAATGACCAATGCATTACCTAATACAGCTGTTGTTATTATACTACCCATTATAATACCTTTAATCACTACGACAAATACATTCACATTTTCCGGTAAATTTTCAACGGTTGGATTTTCAACCGGTACCGATGTAACGTTGTTACTACCACCACCACCACCACCACCAGCGGAAGTCGTGCTAGCGTTACTTCCTGTAGTTTGAGTCGGATCCACTACCCTACATGGTATACTCATCGTTACGGCCGCTGCCGCCATTACGTTCAACATGGCGTAACTGCCCTCTCGATTATCTCGACCCACTCTTCCAATAATTTCAATATTTTTTTATTAACGATCAGCATTATGTCAATCATTTAATCATTTAAATCATTTACGTCGATTTATTTGTGTATTTGTATGTGTGTGTGTGTGTGTATATCATTGGAAGATTATTTGAATCCTCTTATTGATTATTTTCATTTATTTTTATATATTTATATTTAATTATTAGAATTATTGTATGTATGTGTGTGTATGTGTGTTTTTGTGTATGTACGTGAATTAGATTTTATTTCATCTTCCAGTTATTTTACGACTCCTCGAGAGTCTTTCTCGTGGATTCTTGATAAGACATTTTCTTCTTCTGGCCCGAAGAGCCACGTCGTACAATCTCAGTGAGTTTTTCATTGGGTTCATAAAACGTTGATTGCTAAAAGTTTTCTTTCAATTTTCTTTGTTATGCTGCGTCGTCGCTTGTATGTGCGTCGTGTATGCGTGTGTGTTCTTTTTCTTCTTCTTCTTCTTCTTCTTCTTCTTCTTTGTTTATAATTATCGTTCGATTATCTTCTCGTTCCTCAAATTCTAGTAACTAAAATTTCACATTTTAACACATTCGTAGCCGATAGATTTTTTCCATATCTAATACTAAGGAATCGGCAAAATTTGTAAAATATAAAATGACGTAAATTAACGTCATCGGTCGCGAATGTGTTAATAATTAATTAATCTATTATTATAATTTTATTCGTCGACTTGTTCTGTTTTTTTTTTATTATTATAATCAAAATCTAATCGCGTTCGTACGTGCGTGCGTCCTCATGTGTATTTATAGAAATAAATATCGATAAACATCTTCCTAGATATTAGATAAATAATATAATGAAAGAAAGAATAAAAATAAAAATAAAAATAAAAATAAAAATAAAAATAAAATAAAAATATACAAATACAAATAATACATTCGTTCGTAAACTTATACACGTTTCAATTTGACTGTAATACTTGATTAGAGTTTGACGTGCTACGAGTAAATAAATTTCATCGAAATAAGATAAATATTAGGGTGCTGAGGAAAAAAAGAAAAGAATTGGAGAATGATATTTGGAAAGAGAGAGAGAGAGAGAGAGAGAGAGAGAGAAAGAAAGAGATAGATAGATAAATCGAATCGAAAAGTGGGAGGGTGGCAGGAGGAGAAGGAGAAGGAGGAGAAAAAATAAAGAGATTGTGAACACGAACGATATCGTGAATAAAAAAACGACCTGAATGTTTGTAGACACGAGCCACACACACACACAGACACACATATACAGATACATTAAAAAGAATGGATACTAGATAGATAATATTACAATGTAGATTACGACAGTAAAAGGGTACAATATTTCCGGTAGGAAAAAAAAAAAAGAAAAAAAAGGAAATTTTTAGATTCATTCTACTATGTAATTTTTTGTATTCTTTCGTGATGTTGTATATTAAAACAAGAGAATTGATGTGATATTTTTGTTTATGCATAAATAGATTTTGACAAGTGGGTCAATAGAAAAAAAAAAAACAAATGAAAGTAATTATATCTGAAATATAATTCACATTAACCAACTCATTAGTAACTGTTACAATATTAAATTACTGTATAATGATATTCGTATTCAATCAAATAGAACGATTTTTTGCAAACAATTGTTTTATTTTTAATAAATATAAAATAAATGGGTTAAAATATTAAATAAAAAAAAAGAAAAGAAAAATTGTATGTGTGTGTGTGTTGCAAAAATAGTTTTATTTGGTTAATATGAATATCATTATACAGTTAATTGAATTTATTTAATTTAATAATTTTCGTATTGTGGCGGTTAATTGGTTGAAAAAAAAAAGAAGAAAAGAAAGTTAATTAATTATACAAGACTATTTATAACAATTAACACTTGTCTTATATTTGATGGTAAACTTTAATTACATTATCAATGTAATTTTACGCGTTAAACGACAACGTCAACTACGACACAACGAAAAAGAAAAAAAGAAAAAGAAAAAGAAGAAGAAGATGACGGAACTTGTATTTAAGAGGAAAGAGGTTAACAACTTCCCGGAAGCGATACGTGCCGCTCGAAAAGCGGATATCTCGAGTACGACTGTGACCTCGAGATAGAAAACGTCTCGCCATTTTACCCTCAACCATTTTACCTTACCTACCCCCTCCTTCCTCTACCGCCCCCATCCTTCCCTAACATTCCTCTTAACTCATCCACACTTACACACAGCTTTTACATTTGTACGAAATTTATTTGAAAGCTTTTTGAAATTGATCTGTTTTATATCACAAAATCTGATGACAAATTCTCAGTCATATCTAATTCTAAGATAATATTATTATTCAAGATTGTATACAAGTGTTAAGATAATGTATATTTTATACAGGATGATTTTGGTAACATGTGAACAATTTTAATTAATGTTTTGAGATTATTTACGTATTATCATTTAATTGAATAAATAATTAGGAATATGATTATACAATGTTTTAAAATAGAAGAATAGGGTGTTCACTGATAATTAGTTTTTTTGTAAATTATAATATTTTTTTCTTTCTTTATTTTATTTTGCAATTATTTATTTCTATTTTCATGAGATTATATTATATAAATATAATAATTATTATATAATTATATATTATATTACCATAATTATTATATAATTATATAATATAATAATTAATTATATATTATATATTATTTATTTTATTATTTAATATAAATTATACACAGTCATAAAAAAGATGTCTAGTAGTTTGTTGCCGAACTTCTTACTAGGCATGATGAATTTTTTTTTTCCCCCCCGGGATTTGAACTCGGGAACATACGATTACTGTATGGACATTATTGGATGGTGTGATTTGCCTCACTGAGCCATGCGAACTTGTAATAAATTATATATAAAATAATATAAATAATATATATATAAAGTAAAAATAATAAAAATAATAAAATTATTATATTATATTATATTATATAATATATATAATATTAATTAATAATGATTTATTAATAATTAAGTATTTGTTCATTATTTGTTATAATTAAAAATATATAATTTATATATTATTACGGTTTATAATATCATTTTAATTCGATTTGAATTACGATATATTGTTGTGTTTTTATTTTTTTATTTTATTTTATTTTATTTTATTTTATCTTGTCAATTTTTTCTCCATTATTTATATTGTCGATTCATCCAACAACCCCACACAACTTTTCAATATTATTATGAATTACCACGCGAACCATCTAACTTCAACGCTTATTCTTCATTTTTCATAACGATTTCTGCTCGATCCGTTATTTATAGAGTATGCTAGGAAAATATTAGATATTATACCAGCATAGTACACTCAAGATCGATGATAGTTTTCGATAGAAGAAAAATGAAAAATAGAAAAAGAAAAAAAAAAGAACTTTTTTTCTTTCTAATTTATTTTTTTTTCTATTTTCTTTTAAATATCTTTTTTCACGTTCGAAAACATATAAAATAAAAAAATAAAATATAATAATAATAATACTAATAATAATAATAAAAGAATAAAATATAAAGCAATTATTGCATTTATTCGAACGTAAATAAAACGTCAAATGTATTTGGTAATTTTCTTCAAAGTAAAAATATTCTTTTTTTTTTTTTCAATCAAATTCGAACAAAAACTAAAAAAAAAAAATCAAATAAACTAATTTATTTTATATATGTATATAAAGTTTTGTTCATTCGAAAAACCCACACAAATTCAATCTTTCATAATATTCGCATGAATGATTTTAATTGACACGCCAAATGCAAAAATCGTATCTCGACGTGTGATATTTTTCATCTAAAAAAAAGAAAAAAAAAATTACTTTCTTCAATTGGTGGAAAAAGGAAAAAATCTCAAAATAAAATTTCTCTCCTTTTATATATTTATATTATAAAACATCAAACACAATTTATATTTTTTTCGTTGATACGAACACGAAGTTTGAATTTTCATCAAAAATAACAAATGTTTTCAATAAATTTCAAATTTGAAAGAATATTTTTATACACATGAATGAAATTCATCATTTTTCTTCTTTTCTTTTTGATACTTTCTATTTTTTTTTTTTTTCGTTCCATTATTTTTCAATAATTTTCAACTAGTTTTGTAAATCGAACAATTAATTGAGATTAAATCGAACTTGTAATAATTGCAGTATTATGAACGAATATCCAATTAGAGAATCAAAACTTGGAATGTGGAAAATTTGAAAGATAATACTTAAATGATAAAAATAAAAATGATTAATTTTTCATTAATAGACAAAATAAAAAATGATTAATTATTCATTGATAAACAAAATAGAAATAATTCGAATTCGTCGAGTAATGTCCGGTTTGAAAGTATTAATAATTGATCGAATAAAAATTGAGATAAAAAAAAAAGAAAATAAAAATAAAAATAAAATAATGCACGGTTACTACATGTAAATACTTTGCTATACGTGTGTATATGTACATGTGTCCGAGATGAAAACGATGGCAAATGAACTTGTCGATGTCGAAGCACGAAATCCAATTGGGAACAATTAACGAGGCTATTGGTGTTCTGCTGACAAATATCCGACTACGAGGCCAAATTCGACGATTCGAGCATCGAAAAAATTTCATTCCCAGATAGAAGAGTCCTATTATTGATTTTAATACTAATCCTTTCTTTTCCTGAAAAATAAAAACAATGAAAAAAAAAAAAAATGGATCATTTTTGTTTATTCGATTTAAATATCACATTTTCATATGAAATTAGAATAAATTATTCGTATTAATCTTTACAGTTGTTAAATCAAAAAATTAAATTAATTTGAACGATTATTTTAATTAAAAAGAAATAATGTTAAACTTTTTTAATTATATATAGTATAATAATATATTTATTTAATATAATTATTAATATATTTAATTATAATTATATATAT